ATTAACGAGAGCCTAAAGCTTTTTTTTGTATCACAAACCCCAACACTATCATTATCTTCATGGATTCTTAGGATAATCACAATCACTGTGTTTGTAATAGCCCAAGATCATCGTCATCCTTCTTTTTCCTCCAGTCCTCGATCAAATCTACCGTATCAATAAAAAAGTATACAAGATTAATTATTTATTATACTGAAAATAGAATAGAAGTAAGTATTGTAGACTTGTAATATGTGTAAATAAATTAGTCAAATAAGGTTAAAATAGTCAAAATATTGGTCAATTGGTTAGTTGGTTAATTTCAAAATAACCATCGCTATATTTTTCATTAAGTAACTCAATATTGTCGTCTCACAAATTAATCCATTTAACAATTTTGATTGTTTTTTAAATTTAAATCATTAAAAACTCTTTAAACCAATCACATATAAACATGTATTATATGAGTTTCTACAAAAATGACAAGAAATTCTTTTCTAAAAACCTCTCTTCATTTTTTTCACAATTTTTAATTATTTTATTATTTTAAGGATAGAAATCCATGAAAAAACTTTCCATTGCAAATGCTCTAAGAAAAAAAATATAGTGAAAAAAAAGAGTCTAATTAAGTACTATACTATATTTTTGTAGAACCCTTATATATTGTATCAATATTTAAGTGTAACCTGAAATATAAAAACAGTATTTAAATTATAAGAAATCAACAATCCAAACATTATTCACGGCCTTAAACCAATTGTTTTTAAGTTTGCTTTGCTTTGGACAAAGAAAAAAAGAGATGCGGTGGTGGCTGCGTGCGACCCAATATCTAAGAATAAACATTATGGAAAAGAAATCTCTAGAGATATATATATATATAAAGGAAGCACTCACATCACATGTCTTAATTTTTACACGATTAGTTTTAATTTATCATTTATAAACTTATGAAACAACTAACCTTGTCTTGTAGTATATATAAAGATGATTAAGGAAGCGCTTGTCAACAAAATAGAAATGTGATGTCCACGTTGGATCATATTTTAATCTACAAAATCAAAACCTAACCTAATCACGAAACGATAGTGCGCTAACCTACCCAA